ACGCTGCCGGACGTGCCCTGTGTCAGCTGCAGCTCCAGCTCGCTAATGACCGGCCTGGCCGGTGCAGCGCTCTCCTCCTCCTCTTCCCCCTTCTCTGTTGCTGGCGCCACCTGGTGGTGGTGCTGCCCCGAAGACACAGCCACGAGCTGCGAGGCCTCCTCTTCCAATAGCTGTGACTGTTCCTGCACTAACCCCACCTCCCCCTGCCCAATCTCCATCTCCTCCACGCCCTGGTGATGGATCTGGAGCTGTTCTTCCCCCCCGTCCTCCTCCACCTCCGTCGCTGTTACAAGTTCACCTTGACCCTGACCGGCGGCCTCCAGCTGACCCTGTACTTCAAGATGACCCTGAACCACTTCCAGCTGATCCTGACCTTGAACTACTTCCAACTGGTCCTGACCTTGAACTACTTCCAACTGGTCTTGACCTTGAACTACTTCCAGCTGGTCCTGACCTTGACTCACATCCTCCAGCCTGTGGCTCTGGTCGGCAGCGAGGTGGATCCCGGCCTGCGCCATGGTCTGGTCCAGGTTGATTATCTGCCCGTCGTCTGCCTGACCCTCCACCTCCACCACAATCTCCCCGTTGCTGCGCCGGCGCTTCCGCACCTTCAGACCCGGCAGCGCGCTCAGACTGGCGGCCGTGACAGCGCTGGCCGAGGACACAGAGGTTACCGAGACGGGCTGCTGCTGCTGCGAGAGCTGCGATGCGGCCGCCGACACAAAGTCCTCCCCTCCCTGCTGAGCCACGATGGTTGCCGTGGCGCCGTTGGGCCCGGCCGGAGCCGTCGATACCACCACCCTCTCCCCCGTGTCCATGCTCATGAGCTGCGCCTGGTCCAGCTGGATGACCTGGCCACCCTCCATCTGGATCACCTGGCCCATCTCCAGCATCTGCGCCCCGTCCTCCATGTGGATGATGTGGCCCAGCCGACCGTCCTCCATCTCCACCACCTGAAGACCTTCCACCTCCCCGGTGGCAGACAACGTTTCCCCGGCCACGCTGGCAATCACAGACTCCCCGACCGACACCTGCTCCTGGCCGGCGGCCATGACAGCCGTGCCGCCCTCCAGTTTGTCCGAGGTTACGACCTCCGCAGCCGCCTGCGACTGGAGTTGTTCCAGCTGCTGAGGGTCAAACTTGATCTCCTGCACAAACTCCATCTGGCCGGTCGCGTCGGTGGAGACTATTCCACCCTGCTCAACCTCCCGCTGGATCTGCAGGGTCTCATCACCCACCTGAGAAAACAAACCAACACATTACAAATGACACGAATACACATACACACATATGTTATGAATGAAACACACACACACACACAAACACCTGAGCACCTGCATTCACACACAGAGATATATATATCATCATCATCCGGTGCCTTGCCGACTGGCGTGGGCAATCATGGACCTCCACTTCACTCTGTCTTGCGTTGAGGCAATGGTGTCTGTTGTTCTTGCTGTTCCCAGCCATGTTGTCATCTTGTCCCATATCTTTTCCCTCTGTCTGCCTCTGCCTCTCTTTCCACACAGTCATACATACAAACAGACACACACACACACTCAGAACTGACCTGCGAGCAATGGTGCCATTTTATGAGTCTGCAACAACCGGAGACATACACACACACAAACCTATATATGGAAGTGATTGTGTCCTGCCCTCCTACCCCACCCTCTTCCCACCCACGAGCATACACACACAGACACATGCATAACACACCTGTATGTGAGCATTAGTGTCCTGCCACCAGGCACACTCATAACACACAAACACATATGCTCGTACACACACACACACGAACACACCTGCATGTGAGTGATGATGTCCCGTTCTCCACAATGAACCATTAACAACTAGACACACACTCCCACGCACAGCCATACACATACAAACACACAGTCATACACACACACACACACACACACACATCCATTAACAAAACACACATTGCCACAAACATATTCTACACACCTGTATGTGAGTGATGGTGTCCTGCCCTCCACTGTGAGCTTGCAACAACTGCGCCAGGTGAGCCTTCGTGTCTTCTGTCAGTTCCATCTCCTGGATGGTGCCGTTTTCATCCTGCTTCACAACCTGGGCGCACACAAACAACATTAGGTTACTTCCAATAAAGGCCCAAACCCATTTCTCTGTTAACTTATCATTCTCCGTGATCTATCTACATGCCATACGTTGACATATAGGGTTATGGATGGATTATACTCCACTTTCATAGGAAGGAAAATAGAAAGAAAGAAGAGAAACACCAGAAAAATAGAACAAAAATATTAGGGGGGGGGGGGGTCTCACAACTGATTTGCACTAAATGACTTCCTCTGTTCATTCTCTCTTTCCCCATTTCTCTTTCTCAATCTATCAATCTTTTTCTCTCATCTTTCTTTCCTCCTCTCTCTATCTCTCGCTCTTTCTCTCTTCCCATCCCTGTTTTTCTCTCCCCCACCTCTTTAATTTTCTCTCTCCCCCACCTCTTTAATTTTCTCTCTCCCAATTTTTCTTTCTCTTTATCTCAGCATGCATACAGATCATACAAACATCAAGTCGCTACCTTAGAATTAAAAAGTTCTATCTCACATTTTTGGCTGTTTTGAGTTACTAAGACCATGAGGTCAGAATCCAAATGTTTTATCTGCTCTTTCAAAATCATAAGATAATTCAGGGTCGTTATCTAGACATTCCAAGAATTGTATTTGAAAAAGCTTAACATGTTGTGAAACCCAACATTTTTTTACGTCAGATTTCTCAAAACTAAGTACTGAGTACATAGAACTTTGCAACTCTAGGGTAGCGAAGCATCTATTTTAGTTTTAGTAAAAGTTTTACGGCACTTGCAACACAATAAGGTCATATAAGTGCCGAAGATTAGAGATGTTACAAGAGAGTTTCAAACACAAAAAAGAAGGAGGGGAGATAGAGACAATAGACTATTTATAGGAAAGAAGAAGCAAACCACACCAGAGCACCCGCCAACCACCCACGAAGCATCTATCTCCCTGACTCTCACCTTGAGGATAAACATGGCCGACTCTCCGTCCGCACCCTCCACAATGTGCTGCACTGTCTGCTCAGCACCAGCCAGAAGTTCTCCGGGTCCACCCTAGGAAAAAATAAAAGGTTGTTAAAGTTTTAGTTTTAGTAAGAATTTTACGGCACTTGCAACACAATTACGTCATACAAGTTTTGAAGAATAGACGAGTTACAAGAGAGTAACATACACAAAAAAGAAAGAGGAGAGATAGGGACGATAGATGTTTGATAGGAAAGAAGGAGCAAACCACACCAGGGCACCCGCCAACCACCCACGTTGAAGTTTTATGCTCCCCGATTGTCATTCTTTGTTTATCTCTTTCAGTACGTAAGGGATTCCATAATTTTACACACCCAGCAGAAAAGGGTGTTACTTTAAAATGGCTATCATTCGTACTAAAACTATTTGTAATAGGACAAAGGATCACAATATGGGTGAAAATAGGTAGTAAATGTAGCTAAAAGCTTTTTTATCAATACAACTGACAAAAATCATTTTACTTGTAACAAACTTCTATTCATAATACATTCTGGAAGTGATGTTAACGGCAAGTTCAAATGTGAAGTGTATTTTCCCAGAAACAAAATTTTCCACAGAAAAGAAAAGACAGAACATGGGGGGGGTAGCATCTTCAAACACAGAGAGTGAGGGAGAGAATGAGAGAGAGACAGAGAAAGAGAAAAACAGAGACAGACAGAGAGAGATAAAGACAGACACAGAGACCGAGAGACACACAGAGATAGAGAGACAGACAGACACACAAAGACAAAAAGACAGATCGAGAGCAAGTATACGTCCAGATAACCAAATCACCTGGTGCAGAATGACCTCCCCTGAGCCAAAGCTGTGGTGCGCCCCGTCCTCCTCCCCGGTGGTGATGATGACCTCCCTGGCCCCCGGCCCGACCCGCAGGATGCTGGGCTTCATGTCCTCGCTGTCCACCATCATGCGGGACTGAGTGGCTGCCGTCACCGGCTTCTGCAGCGAGTCCAGGAACTCGGGCTTCTCCTCAAACACGTTCCCGACCTCAGGGTGCTGAAAAATGGATACCAAAGTAGTAGTTGATGAACATCCTCTTCGTGAAGCATATTTGCAAGATCTACTAGAGAGAGGGGGGCAGAGATAGAGGACAGAGAGAAAGGGGGAGGGCAAGACATAGAGAGAAAGGGGGGAAGGAGACACAGAGAGAGAGAGAGAGAGAAAGAGAGAAGAGAGAGAGAGAGAGAGAGAGAGAGAGAGAGAGAATCATTGCAATTAAAGCCTATAAAAATGATACAGGAGAAACATATTGACATATACATGCTCACAAAAACACACACACACACATGATGATCTTTCAACAAACACATCCACCCACACACACACACACACGATGATCTTTCTTCAACAAACAAACAAACACACACACACACATGAAAATCTTTCAACAAACACTACCACCCACACACACACGATGATCTTTCTTCAACAATCCCACACACACACACACACAAATGATGATCTTTCAACAAACACACCCACCCACACACACACACGATGATCTTTCTTCAACAAGCCCACACACCCAGACACACACACGATGATCTTTCAACAACACACACATACACATTATGATCTCTCAACAAACACACACACACACATATGATCTTTCTTCAACAAATCCACACACACACAAACACACAGTGGGCTCACCTTCCGCTTGTAATGGCGTATGATTGTGTGACGGTGGGCACAGCATTCGTGGCAGACGCCACACACGTAGACAAAGCCGCTGTGGTAGTTGCGCATGTGGTTACGCAGCTCATACGAGCGGACAAACTGCTTGTCACACATCTCACAGGCGAACTTCTGGGTCAGTGTGTGCTCCAGGCGGTGCCGGTTCAGCTGGTCGGGGTACTTGAAAGCCTGTGAGGTGGGGGAAGGTACAGTTCAGTGCACTATATTATCAAAGACTGAAGAACTGTGTCTTTTTAAAAAAATAGTTTCAGTAGAGGTTTTACGGCGCTCGCAGGTGCGTAAGGTCATATGAGCGCCAGAAGATTAGAGGTGTTATAAGAGAGTAACAAACACAATAAAGAAGGAGGGGAGATAAAGACGCTTGATGTGTGATAGGAAAGAAGAAAGCAAACCACACCAAAGTACCCGCCAATCACACACTGTGTCGTTAACGACATGGCATCCTTCTACATGAGCTTGTAAGTTTAACCCACAAGAATAAGATTATTAACCAAAATATATAATAAAGCTAAATGAATTGTACAAGTTGGCCACTCTGTCACAAATGTTTGAATGATAATGCGTCATCATATTTATCAAATCTATTGAATCTGTACATTCCAACTTTTAGTTTAAGGTCGTTAGCTGATTAAAATAAAATTTCTTTTCCCATCCATGAAACTTAAAACAATGGGCGAAAGGGCATTTCAATATATTATATATAATCATGGCCCCAAGATCTGGAATGCCATTAGTTTAACAGAGATCAAACCTTTTTATTCATTCAATTATCAGCTATAGTTGTTTCTGTTTTTAAATAAATGAGATAATAGAGACATTTTTGGTCAGAACAAAGTGTGGGACTTTACTGTAAAATCAGACTCGTATCTCTGCTGGACATCACCAAATAAGAAAATATAAAAGTGGGAGGACCCAGAAGCTGGCATTTCTATTGGACATTGTTATTGTTGTTATCGATCCAGCTATTTCTATTGGAGAACACCAAATAAGAAAATCAAAAAGAGGGAAGTTTGTATTTCTAGTGGACATTGTCGTTATCAATCCAGCTATTTCTATTGGAAAACACCAAATAAGAAAATCAAAAAGAGGGAAGTTTGTATTTCTAGTGGACATTGTCGTTATCAATCCAGCTATTTCTATTGGAAAACACCAAATAAGAAAATCAAAAAGTGGGAGGATCCAGAAGCTAGTATTTCTATTGGACAACACCAAATAATTTTTTTTTAAAGTGGGAAGTTTATATTTCTTTTGGACATCAGCAAATAAGAAAATCAAAAAGTGGACAGGGTCAGAAGCTTATTGTGTCTCTCACCTTGCCACAGACGTCACACTTGAAGGCTCTCTCTTTGGTGTGGGAGATCAAGTGGGTCTTCATGTTGCCCTTCTGCCGGAATGTCTTCCCACACTTGGGGCAGGGGTACAGGCGGATCGTTTCAGCGTGGAACTGCTTGATATGGGCGATCAGACCCGTCTGGGAGAAGAAAAAAAATTGTCAGAATGTTTTTAAATGCCCCTATTGACACAAATGTGTCACGACGCCGTGGAATCAGGCGCTCGTGAATTTTTGGGCAGATGGAGTTATTGGTATCATCTGAAAGCTGATTGATTTGCCCTGCTTCTAATGAAATAAATATCCATTTATCTTGAATAGGAGTTAAGATATTTGTGATTGAAGAAAGTGAGGTTGCCTAGTTTCAGTGGTCAAATTAGCGAGAAAATGGCCGCCAAAGTATAGTAACTCCAATAGCTAAAGAGTCCTAGAAAACTGAAAAAACGACATGTTTTGTGCCTCAAATCAATATTTTTCAGCAAAATTCACAAGGAAATGTGTTTTTATATGGACTTAAACCGGCGGAAATATGCCTGTTTCTTCGATTTCATTATTTTGACGAAGCCTGATTTCACCACGCTGCCTCACAAATACATCACTTTAGGTGACAGGGTGTATCAGTCTTGTCTGTCAGGGCAAACACAGACAGCGGGCCCAGGCTATAACAGGACCGCCATGATACCCTTGTCTGTTACAGCCAAATCTTGTTATGAACGGGAATCAAGTTTAGATCCACTGTTACTAATGATTAAATGAATGGGGCCATTTTCAATATACATCCTAACAGATAGCCGTGAAAGCACAAAAAACGGCAGCTAGTAATGCATTATATTATAAAGACAACTTTTCTAAAGCCACAGACAATACACTTTAGTACAGCCGAGTAATTCTCCTTTAGAATTTATGAGAATGATTTTGGCAGTGAACACAAAAACAACTAATTTTCCTTTAAAGTTTATGAGAAAACTACAATTAAAGAACACCCAAGTAATTTTAGATTGGACTTAAGAGAATCTTTCTCCCCATGGATGCACCAAAAGACAGTGTAGTAATTTTTAGAATGTATGAGAAGAACTGGATAAAGAAAACGAGGAAGACAACTGGAAGCTATAGAGGCACAATAAGGGATGAGGCAATCACCCAGGGCCTGGATGTGGCCAGGGACAGGCAAGTCTGGCGTAGACTGCTCTCCGCCTTATGTACCTGACGGTATACTGAGAGAGTAAGTAAGTAAGTATGAAAAGAACGTTTCCTGCACCAAAAAGACGAGGGAGAACGAGCTTACCTTGGAGAAGAGAACCTTTCCACAGTGCGTACACTGCAGCTGGTACTGCTTCTCATGCACGGTGGCAATGTGCAGCTTGAGGTAGTTTTCGTAGTGGAAGCGCTTGTGGCAGATGTGGCACTCGGCTTGCTTCTCCCCGTGGACCTTCATATGTTTCATCATGTTGCTGCGAGAACTGCCAGTGGGGGAAATACATATTAGTTTAGTTTTAGTAGAGTTTTTTTTACGGAGCTTGCAACTGCATAAGGTCAGTTAATTAGGTTTAGTAAAAGTTTTACGGCACTTGCAACACAATAAGGTCATATAAGTGCAGAAGATTAGAGGTGTTACAAGGGAGTAACAAACACAAAAAAGAACAAAACCCCTGACTACACAGTAATTGTTCCATATAATGAACCATCTAAGCTTTAATATTGCTTACTTGAATAAGCAGAAACATTAACACTTGGCATAAACTATAGAGTACTGAAATAAAGACATAACCCGTTATCTCATTTATCTCAGACATTAATCCTTTATATAGGGTAAGGACATTGAACAAATTCTTTTAAAAAGTAAAACTATCCACACACATCCAAATATTGATGGAAACATTAAATGCTTTACGCATCGCCATATCATGAATCATTCAAGATGCTGACAGTGATATCAAATATTCTGGTCAACTAAAGGATTATTCTGAGGCTGCAAGAACCTTCATTCGACATGGAGACAAAACACTAAAAACAAGAATCAACTTAAACCTTTCAATACCACATATTAATGCAATTCCTGTACATCAAAATGTAAAAAAAATTGTGCGATTCCATGATGTAGCAAGTACATCAATACGACATTGAAAGAGCTTAAAAAAAAAAAAAATAACGCTTACATATCATGGGAACAAAAAGAAAACACAGGTAGTTACCTAAACGTTTTCCCACACTCCGGACAAGCAAGGTTATCCCTGATGTACAGCCGGTTCTTCTTGCGCACCATGCGCACCGTGGTGCCGTCCGGCATGCGGCACTGGTGGTCGTTGAGGTAGTCCTTGCGGGTGAAAAACTTGCCGCAGAACTCGCACGAGTACTCTGGCTGTCCGTGCAGGGAGAGGTGGCGAGCCAGGTAGCGTTCATTCTTGAAGGATTTTTTACAGATCTCACAGGAGAGCAGGTTGGTGGTTTCGCCGTTGGCGTCTGTCTGGCCCTCGCACTTGTGATTGTGCAAAGTTCCAATCTGAGGACGGCGACCAGAAGACGAGGTGCTATTACTGCTTGTAAACATAATATCAATAAAAGGCTATTATATCATTTATTAACACTTTGATTTCTTCAACATTTAAGTGGGTTTGATTTGTCTTTAAATCACTGTTCAAGTAAAGAGAAACACACCGACACAACAACAGCCATTTAGTGCGGGGTAAAAAAACCAACTTAGTGTTCATGCTTGGAGAAAGGTATGTCAGACACAATTGTTCCATCTGAGTTAGCAATAAAGGATAAAAATCGATTTTTTCTAAAACTTGAGTTTCATTAATTAAAAAATGATTCTTTCGCCATTGATGTGCCAATACTTACAAGGCTTTGTGTTTATTTCACATTCTGAAGATGTTTTTTTAAAACATAAAAGTCATCTTGTAAAATAACTAAAATTGCATTAGAAAATTTGCTACCACAGCCTACATTGCGGATGACTAATCTTTTTGCCACCTTCAAATGTATTTTTATTAAAAGAAGATTTGACAAAACATGTGTACAATAAGCAGCCAGCCCGTACCTTGATGAACCTCTTGCCGCACTTGTTGCACTGGTGCGGGTGCGTGTGGGTCATGTGGTGCTCCTTGAAGGCCAGCCACTCGTTGAACTCCTCCCCGCACACCTCACACGGAGCCTTGCCCTCCTGCTGGATCTTCTGGCGCGTTGCACACACGGGCGTGTGCCAGTTGAGCTCCTCTTTGCGGATAAATACACGCTTACACAGGTCGCACTTGAAGGCGTCGTGGTGCGAGGCCTCGTGCCGCACCAGATACGCTATGCTGGCAAAAGTCTTGTTGCACTCTTTGCAAGGGAACTGCACGTTGGCTTTCTCGTTGAGGACTTTGCCCGCACATTCGTGTTCTGCGAGGTCTTTGATGGAAAAGTAGGCCACCTTGAGCAGAAGAAACAAGCAAGGAATCATACAGTAATAAAATTTTATCAAGGAATTCCTGATACTCATTTCTTTTTTTTTCTATGGCCTTCAGCTAAACCATCATTTTGAAAAACGTGATTCAGGAACAGTGAAAAGGATAGAATAGTAGATGCAGGAAACCACCATCACTCCTCAATATCATCAACATGCCATAGGTGGTAGAAACAGTAGTGACAATATACATATATAAAAAATAATTTGTTTTTTGGATAAATACTTAATATATCTATTTAAAAATACATTTCTGTGTGGACTTTACTGAAAAATGTCGATTAAAGAAACAAAAAAAGTTATTATTTTGTTTCCAAGGACTTTCCAGCTATGGAAGTCACCAATTTTAAGCACCCATTTTCTCGTTAATTTTACCTCTGCAACGAGGCAACCTCCACCTCCCTCTATCGAAAATATCTTGATTCCTATCAGCAACTGTCATTTAGTGTCAGGAAAAAAACAAAGAGATACCCAGTAACAATACAGGGAAAGAAGAGAAGTAGAATGTTCCACATCCAAACACCCACTTTTTCGAATTTCTGAGAACAGTGAGAATACAACTTTTTTAAAAAGAACTTGAGCACCAAGCTGCAAATAGCATAATGAGCTCACCTTGCATGATCCGCACTGGTACTTGCCACAGTTGAGCATGTGGTTCTGCAGGCCAAGAGCCGTGCCGAATGTCTTCTTACAGTTGGGGCATACGTGGACGCTGTACTCCCCTGCCAGCTCGGGGCAGCAACGGGAGATGTGGCGTTGGAGGGAGTCCTTGCGAGAGTAGCATTTGCCACACACCTGTAGGGCACACAACAACAACAGAGTCAGCCACACTAAACAATAGAACACGGAGACGTACAAATTTTTACTCTACAAAAGTCACCCCTTAGATTCAACTCTGAAGGTCTACATTTGGTTAAGATCCTGTATTTCAGATCATAATGTGAATAAAAGACATCAAGTTTCAACTTACAAATTAACAGTTTCATTATTTTCTTCCTAGTTTTCAATTCAAAAATCACAAATGCTCAAGTCATGGTTCTGATTGGGGCAATCTCTTTTTCTTTAACCCTATCCGTATGCCCTGGGGGTCATTTTGTACCCCTGAGGTTGTATTCTTCACATTTTATAATACTTCTAGTATGAAGATCTCTTTGAAACTTTCAGTATTTTTCAAAAAATCAATTTGACAGACTGCTATGCAAAGCGTACGGATTGGATTAACGAGTAAATTTTCTCTTTGGAAAGTGGTGGAACGGAGTTCAACATGTTGTATGGATACGATAGTAAAACACGACGTACGGATAGGGTTAACATGCTCCAAACTTCAAACAATGACTCGGGTGCTTGAGGAACGACGCTGACAATACACCCTAAGACTCACCTCACACTTGTAGATGTCCGTATGCATGGCCATGTGTCGATACAGGTATTTCCCGTTGGTGAACGCCTGCTTGCAGATCTGACACTCGTGCCTCTCAGCGCTGACCTCCCCTTCCTCCAGCTGACCTCCCACGCACTCGTGCTCCTCCAAGAGGTCCTGCCGCAGGAACGTGCGGCCACACTTGTCGCAGGTGAAGCGAGCGCGGTGCATGGAGGCGTGGCGAGTGGCGAAGCTCAGCTGACTGAACGAGCGGCCGCACTCTCGGCAGCAGAACAGGTCGTTGCCCTCCTCATCAATGCTCTGCTCCACTAAATTTGCCGTGTCGTCGCACGTGTGTTTGAGCAGAGACTCGTTCCTGGCAAACCGCTTTCCGCAAACCTTACAGCGGTACCGGTCTGTGTGTGCTGGCAGATGCAGCTTGAGGTACTTGAGCTGTGTGAAGTGTTTGTTGCACACGCCACAGGCAAACTCTTCTGTGCCATTCGGCCCCTCCACCACTTTCGTCATGTTCTCCAGTTCCTCGAGTTCAGGGTCATCTCCCCTGCGGCGTTTTTTCCTCTTCTGTCTAGGAGGCTGTGGAAGTTTCCCGACGTCACTTTCCTCTCCTTCCTCTGCAGTTTCCGCACTGTAGCTCTTGATAGGAGCTTTGTACTCATCATTATCATCATCGTCCTCCAAGGTGCGATCATCATATAGGTCAGCAGCCACCATGGCAATAGGGTCTGGGACTTTGTCTGCAGATATAGCGGCATTGACCAGCGCCGTGAGGGCATCCGTGCCGTCTAGATCAGCGATGGTGTTCTTCCTCTCGTGGCGGGGCACTTCTACCACTTCCTCCCGGGTTCCCACCACCACGTCAACCTCCGCCTTGCTTCGACCCTCCTCCTCCGTTTCCAAAGACTCCTCTCCCTCCACTAGAGTCTCCACCATCTCCTCTGTAAGTTTCTTCACTACCTCCCCCTCATCTTCCTCAACCTCCCCTTCTTCTTTAGCAGCAGTGTCACCTGACACACTTGATGTTGTTGTTGCTGTTGTTGCAGTTGTTGTGGCTTGAACAGTTATCAGTTGTGCAGACTCTGCTGCACTCGAAGCGGTCTTGGGGTCTCCAGCCACCAGCTGTGTTGTGGAAGACGATGCGGCCACCAGCTCGGTCGAGGAAACAGCTGCCACAGACAGCGAGCAGCTCTCCGAGGACATGATCTGCTGGAAGGACACGGGAATCTCGTACGCAGTGGTAGTGTCTCCTTTGGTGATGACGATGTACTTTTTGGGAGACTCTGTGTCGTCCTTCTTGGCCGCATCCGCACCATCCTCCCCGGGCGCTGCCGACGACGATGACTCTGTCGACTTGTCTTCTTCCTCCTTCTTCTTCTCCACCAGAACAACTGGTTTCTCAAAGGTCAGCTTTGATTTGGCAGCCTCCTTGAGCAGAGTGGTCGACACTTTCTTCACAGTTGAGCTGGCACCAGCGGACGGTGACTTCGCCAGATTGGTGCCGCTACTTTTCCTCTTCACCACCGGAGATGTCATTTCATCCATCGCTGCTTTCCGCAGTGACGCCGCCATGGCAATGCCGAACCGTTTGCGGGGTTTCAGTTCCTCGTCCTCTGTAGAGCCCCCTCCAGCAGGGGTCTCCTCGTCGGATGACACCTCCCCGGGATACTTAAACCACTTGCTCAGCTTTCCCAGTCCTTTCAGGGCTCTGGAACTTCTCCTCAGACCCGAACCTGACCTGTCAGGGACAAGAGCAGTCGCATCAGTTTCCAGTTTGACAGTCACGTCTGTGGCTGATCCGGACGGTGTGGAGGAGTCTGGGGTGTCTACTGCACCGTCTCCGACCTCCTCCTCTTGGCCAATGGGCTCGGGCTCGGGTTCAGGTTGGATTTTCCTGGGTCTACCTCTCCCTCTTTTCACAACAGGTGTTTGCTGCTCCACAATCACAACTTTCTCGCTATTCGCTTCAGCCCCCGCGGGGCCTCCAGGTTCTTCTTCTACACTGACCTTCACCCTTTTTGCCTCCGGACTCCCCTCTTCTTCATCTTCCGGAGGCCTCGGTATCTTTGGCGGTCTTCCAGGGCGACGTCCGGACCCAACCATCGTCCCACCACGTCCCCTATGCCGACCTCGACCTCTCCCCCTTCCTCTCCCTCGCCCACGAGGTGTTGATGAGCCTCCATATCCTCGACCTTCTGTGACCTTGAGGGGTACCGGCCTCCTACCCCTTCGAGGGGGCCCTTCGCTGTAATTATAAACAGGGAACAAATGTTCACGGATGTGCTTTGCAAAAAGAAACTGAGACGTGAACTTCTCTGAACACTGGTTGCAGGTAAAGTCGCCCTCCACATCATCTGGACTGGGCCCGTCTAGACTGAGGTTAGTGTCCTCGCCTGTCCCTGCCACCCCCTCCTCACCCATCTCTTCTTCCTCTCCTCTGTCTTCCAATCCCTCATCAGCCTCCTCCTCCTCCATGTCAGTTTCAGTAAACAGAACCTCTCCCAACATGGCTGAAACAAAGAAAAACAGAAATAAACATGAAAGAATAAAATAATTTAAGCTCATCAACATCAAAAGACAGATCTGAAACAGATATCAATGATCATAGTTTGCCATTCATTTCTTTTCTCAAAAGCTTTCAAACACTAATACTGTCCTGGTATTTCCCCGTCACCCATCTGTCCAAGTTTTCCAAGGTAGTTGCTCTGCTTCGTTCATTTGTAGTACAGACAAAAGAGTAAAAAGTAAATTTTGTTGCGAATTGTGAAATCAGGCACTTGTCAGGGTTTTTTTTGCATAATAACATGTAGATTTTGGCATCTCACCTGTAATCATTTTGACGGGTGCAGAATGAAGAAGGAAAGTCAGTTTGAAACAAGTTGGGACGGGAGGGCTTTTCTGATGATTCTGATTCAAATAAACAGACAAATTCAGGCTAAGCGGGATTCCCTGCCTATACAAGAGAAAAAAAATAAAAGACTTGAGCCTTACACTTCGTTTTTCCATCAGGTGTCAGTGATTTGTTCAGTTTCTTGGCGTACTGGGGGGCGTACCAGACCTTGAGCTCGTCTCCGATGGCCAGGTCCCTGGTGGTGTTGAAGTAGATGTTGATGCCCAGCTGGTAGGCCATGCAGTTTTGCTCCTCCTCCGTGGCGGCCACCTGGACCAGGGCCATCCAGTTGCAATGAGCCTCACTGCTGGCATCCAGGCTGATGAAACTCCCATCCTTCGAGAGAATCTAAAGAATTAGAAAGTAAAAAGTGTACAATTAAAACATGGTCGTCATATCTCGCCGATCTGCGAAGTTTACCACCCAGTTTGTTTCTTTGGATTTTCCCCAAAATGCATTTGCCTTTGACGGCAAAGTGTTAAATAATAGGTAACAGATAGCATTTGTATTGCGCAAATCCTTGCCGCTCAACGGTAAGCTCTATGCCCTTCACAATTTATACTAATACCCCGGCAGAGCTGAGAGCATTCTGAAACAACCTCAACTTCCTGGAAAGCATACAATGAAAGCAGCCATTTATTGGCGCTAAAACACTAACATGCTGACAAGATCTTCGGGCCGAATCAATTAAGTAACAAAAAAATTGCTTCACGGCTACCATCTCACCTTCAAGACAAAGAGATCGTCCCTGTCAATATCGTGCATGGTTTTCTTGGCCTCAAACGGGCCAAGCTGCGTTTTGTTGGAGATAGGCTCCAATGCCAAGACACCCACACCGCCATCAGGAAACTCCACTGGGTTCAGGTAGTGTGGTGCTGTTAACCTGGCACTGTTAATACAAAATATGGGGAAAATCTTACAGTCAAGGAGGAGTCATTAAGGATGTTTCAAGGGGACATCACAACAGAAAAATTGTTATTTTTAAATACATCGACAGTGTCATTTCACAATCACCCAAAGCAATTTCGAAACGTTTCCAGATAAAAAAACCACTATCCAAAAAAAGCACAGAGATCTACAATATACATCGAATCTGTCTCTAGACAATCACCCATTGCCAAAGAGAAAAAAGTGATCAACGAAGACATCATGTGGTCATCTTGGGCAGGCCAGTGGAAAAAAAGACAAATTAAAGTACTTAACACACTTATTTTTTTAGCTTGCAAGTATGCCTTTTTGGCAATCAACAGAACAGGCAGATTCACTTTCAAGTTGGTATATCAACATTTTACTTCTGTAACTAAATCTTTTGTGGATGTTGCTACTAATTATTAATTAATCCTCATTCTTCTTTCTCTTTAAATTTTACCCACATTTCAAATTAATTGAATCAGAAGCGCAAATCCTTGGAAGTAACCAAGGCCAAAAAAAAAAAAAGAAAAAAAAAGGGGGGTTATTATGAGTTAATTTTTCATGATATGTAGATCGTACCTTGACCAGACATGAGATAAATAAATCCCTGCAACAGAACTTACCGAGAGATCTGTGGGATAAACTTGGTGCTGGATAGCCCCAGCTCCGGGCATTCTTCTGTCAAGTGGTTCTTACCGCACACATCACATTCTACGTCTGAAATGAATCATAAATATCTTTAATAAAAGGATTTAAAAAACTGACGGGACAGAACAGTTCAATTCATTTCCCCAAGTATATATATATATAATATAATATAATATGATTATTTTTTTCATTAAATTTGTCATTTTAAGAGTTTTTGGAATGAGTTTCTAATCTCCATTGATGGCAAAATCTGTCATGTTCTGCAGTAGTCACTGCGCTCTGTATTTTTCATTCTGTGTGAAGAATATTAATCCTTTACTATCCTATGGGTATTTTGGGGTTTTTTTAAAATAGTTTTAAAAACTTTTTGTTTCAATTATAGGTCACATGCTCAAAAACACCCATACATTTTGCAAAAACAATGACAGTAAATATTAAATGCAGCTGCAGCAGCTCAGATGTGAGTCACAGTAGGTGCCAACTTCTCCCCGTCAAGCATTTACAACCAAATTGGGCTTCTGCTGTCAGATATATCCAGCCTGCTGGAAATTGCTGTCTCATCTTTCCCCAATACATCCTGGAGTCCCATCATTTTTGGTATGATCTTGATGTAGCACAGTAGCCCACCAAGGAATTCATGCACATCATATCCAAAGGCTTTGTACCTAACATTCTACTTCCCAATCTCACCTTCATTTTCCTTCTGAGCTTCCTTGTCCACGACAACAACTTGAGCCATTTGTCAGGTCTCTGCTGTTATTGGTCTGTCATAGGTTGCTGCAATGACATAGAATATTAGAATATAAAAACCTTACTCAAAATTATAAATCTATATTTTTACAAAAGACAAGAGATAATATATACCGCAGTAACTAAACGATTCCTATTTATGAATTGGGCTATCATGAGTGTAAGTAAAAGATCAGACATGTGCGACTGACAGTACATTTTGCTACAATGGCTGGTCACTGTACACTCATATATTTTTTTGGTAAAAGTGTATTACGGCGCTCGCAACAGCATTATAAAGGTCATATCTACATGTGCGTACGGGACACATTTAAACATTTTCAGTAGATAGGAAATTTTGAATTTTGCTCAGGTGGTGGCCGAAGCTCACTCTTGTTTTATTTATCGATTTTGGACCACAAAGGGATCTTTAAGTTTAAGGTACACTACTTGATACCGGACCACCAAGAGTTTTCGCCCTTATCCGACAAGGCTAGGGGTTAGTTAGATCTTACCTACATACTATAAGATCAGGGATATGGCTGAAAGACAGCAGTAAGAAGGAGCCAAGGAGAAGCAGCTGACAGGTTGCAGAAAGTCAGAAGCGCGTAGGAGGGGAAAAAGGGGGTGAGGGCAGAAAGTGGAGGTAAAAGCAGGGGACAAAACATTGTTAGAGAGCAGGGAAGGAGGTGAAAGGAGACAATTTTAGAGAAGAAAATTTTCCGTCGCTGTCCAGATTTGAACCTGGGACCTTTTGAATGAAAGGCAAACACCATAACCTCTCAACCACGAGAGCCCCTGTACTATAATCAATGATCAATGAATAATATATAGAACTTTGTAATACCCATTTACCCGAGCAAAATTCAAAATTTCGTACCAACTGAAAATGTATGTCTCGTGCACTTACTTATATGAACTTATGATGCAGTTGCGAGCGCCGTAAAACACTTACCAAAAAAAAAAAAAGATTATATAGAGGTAGAGGTGGAGAGAGTCGCATGGCAAAAATCCACAAGACGTGTGTTTAACAACAACGTCCCTTTCCACTAGTCACAGTGGTACCCAGCGCCATAAAGTAAGGAAAGTTCTATCCCAGTAATTACATATTGATATTTTACTCTCTCTATATATATATTGTAATGCGACAAAAAAGAAAATGAAACATCAAAAGGACGTCACTCGCCAATCTGGCATTCATCTGGAAGTCTCGAGTGTTCATCTTGATGTGGAAATAAACACATGAAGATATATATACAAACTTGTAGGGACCGTAGATGGTAAGGATTACCCCAATTTTTATCAAAATAACCCTAAAAATGGGACTGAAGTCTGAACGGACACAAATCAGATGTCTTTTTTATGTCTTTTCGCATTTCAGTATGACACGTCTATAGATAGAATCTCTGGTCATATTTTGAACGTACTGAATCTTTATTTTTCCAGTGTTTATTTGAAAGTAAACTAGAATAAAATGCATTTCTCTAGGCTATTCATGATTCACACCGGTGGCACCAGCCACTCGGCCAAACATGACCACCTCATTGGCCTGTGGCACTGGCCAATCGGAAACTAAACGACAACTCGGTTAAAGATGACTGATGACAAGGCAGAGGTCTAAACAAGAATTTATAATGAACTGGGCCCTAGCACAAGGACAGCACTTCATCTAAGGGAGGGAGGGAGGGAGAGAGAGAGAGAGAGAGAGAGAGAGAGAGAGAGAGAGAGAGAGAGAGCAGAGAGAAAGAGAGAGAGAGACAGAGACAGATAGAGAGAGAGAGGAGAGTAGCCCAGCGCGAGAACTTCCGGGCAAAACAAAATGGCGACCCGCGTAGTTCGGCTCGATTCAAAAAGTTAAATAGCCGTAGCATCTTTGTAGACGACAAAATTAATGTACTTTCGTATTTTAACATCATTTTTTTAATCTCTGTTTTTGTCAATTTGATCGTCCACACCGATAGACAGTATTCAAAAAGCTAGAATCTAGATATTAGATCTAGATTTGTCAATAAAATTTTAAAAAATTGACACCGCTGTCAGTCTGTGAGGGTCCGCGAGAACTAAACATTAGATCCAATTGCTTGCTGCACACTTTTTTACTTTTTCTTCTCAAGATCGCAGTCATTAAATTCTCATCCGGGGTGAGGATAAACTGGATCTGGATTATCATTCTCCCCCGGGGTGAGAATAAAATTGATACTATTCTCACCGCGGGTGAGAATAACGACAGCCTACTATTCTCACCTGATTTTTGAGTTCCTGCCCTCTTTATTTCGTTTCGGGCATCATAGGACCCCTGTCACTGAGCGCTGCAGGCGACAAAACTCGCCTCCCTCTCTCTCCGCTGAGCACGAGAGGCGACTACAGTCACTGACGGGGGGCCAGCTCTCGAGCGCGGGAGGCGAGTAAGATCTCTATTGTCGATTTGGGGGAAAACCTTAGGTTAGGCCTACAGTTTTTAGTTATAAGACTATTATTTAAAAAAACACACTACTCTGGCAAGTGAATTCCTTTCTGAATTTAGAAGATACACTTGTCATGGGTTTTGGTGAAGATATGCGTGCATACTCTCAAGATTTAAAAAAAATGAAGCAATTACAATCCCCGCGGGAGCCTAGAAAAATCGGCCATCGCTCTGGGGGCTGTTCACGAAAGGTCACTCTTACAATTCACAAATTGTTTTCTATGATCATCCTATTAGATCTAGATTCTAAATCTAAAGTGCTAAGCCTACACGTTCTCAACACCCAGGTAGACCTAGCCTAGAGAGAGAGCAGAGAGCAGAGAGAAGACTGGGTGAGAATAATGAACATTTTATTCTCACCCAGGGAGAGAATACAATATTAAATCTAGTATCTCTAGATTAGATCTATCTAGATCTCTACCCTATTTTCAACGGGGTGAGAATAAAATGGATATTAATATTATATTTTTAATTTCACCCCAGGTGAGAATAACGAGGCTGCCTTTTCTTCTACAACTTGGACTTGTTGGGGCAGTTGTGTGGAGGATGGGGTGGTTTGGAGGATGGGGTTTCAAATTGAGTTTTGTCTTCGAGGCGGAGTTTTCAAATGAAGACCAGCCATACCAAAATTTGATAAATAAGTGGCTCCGGCTTGATGACGACAATAATAATAGAATTACTGTAGGCCAAGTTACTGAAAGTAAGATTTCGTCGTTAGGCTGTTTTGGCTCTCTATTTCAAGTCTATTGCATTGACAGTGTGTTCTCATCGTAGCAAATGGTCTGTCGTGGTCCTCGGCATGGTTTGACAAGAAGTCTCGAGTATACATGATAAATGCAAGTTGTTATAAACTTTAAGAAGCATTTGTTTACTGACCTATGCAATTAGCACACGCCGTATTTTTTCGTTTCCTTATGACAACAAAAAACGCAAAAATTTAAGCTCCGATCCGGTTAAATTCTTACATTTGCTCAAATTTAATTGAACAACACGACGGGCAAAAATGGCGGAAACGAAAGCCGATTCGCTCGACTCAATTATTTTGGCACACTGTCCGTCTGTGGAAGCCTAAGAGTAAACAAGAAACAACGATTTTCAAAATTGTCACTTACTTCACATTCAATTAGGCCTACCTTAAATCCAGGTTCTGAAAACCTCGAGATAAATAATAATAGATGACTTGGTTTCGTTTTTCCGTTGAAACGAAATTCGTTATCAAGGTCGGCAAAACATGGACGCTTTTTTAGAATTTTGTACGCAATGCGCATGCGTTAGATATTGTGACGTCAGATTATGCTTCCTCGCTCCTCACTGAAGACTGAAGGATAGGATAGGGCTAATATTAATGATACTAGCCTGGCCAAGTCAAGGCTAGGCCAAAGGGGATTTTCTTGGCCCAGTTCGGGCTTGATACCTCGATACTCAATAATCTACTCTTGGCCCTAGTCTTGGAAGGCCAGACCCTACCCAAATAATTTTGACTTTTGAGATTGTGCCTCTTTTTTTTTCAACGTTTGGCCTAAGGGCCTATAAGGGCCAGCAGAACTTATTATAATTTAAATTCATTGTCCTTAGGTTAAATTTTAAATGTGATGAAGTGGAAGGCACCTGTAAGGGGTAACTAGATCTACTGTTATAATAATTTTATTATATTATGTTATACGCCTACAATAAACGTATTTAAATAAAGGCCTATACGTGTTATATAATTACGGTACCAGTTAATTCACGACTGAACTTGTGCTTTCCTGTTCGTTTCGTCTCCCTACCTCCCCC